TCTTTCCAGAGTCCATCTTTGACACCTGAAACACACAAAATGGAAACCCTAATCAACTTAGGATCAAGAGATCAGATCAAACGGTTAGAAAAATATCAGATACATGCCTATCTCTCTAGATTTTCAAATCTTGAGAGATCTGAGAATCTGGAAAGATGATATCAAAATAATAATTATAAAAAAAATTTAAAAAATAGGTGCAAGTATACATAGATCTATAGACATCGTAGATCAATGCAAATTGTGTATCTAGATCTCAAAAGAGACCCACCTTCTCGTTGCTTCAGAAATTCAGATCGAAATTTTCTGCAAATATCAGATCGTTTGTTTGTAAGAAATCGCTGTATAATTAAGCTAGAAACTCGAGTACAATCCAAAAAACAAAAAACAAAAAAAATCAAAGAAATGTAAAGAAACGAGACCAAAGAACAATCTGAGATCGATCTCTGGATACGTGCACTGACCTACCATTCGGAGATCGATCTCTGGATACAAGAACTGATCCACACTCAAGGATTTTCGCCCCAGATCTCTCTCTCTCTCTCTCCCCGTTGTTTGGAAATGAGTGAGAATGGGTATGTCGGAGATAGGAGATGAGGTTGATGCAGAAAAAAGCAAGCCTTACTCCATGGCTAGTGAGTAGTGTATCTACATGCAGCCACCTGGATACCAAGCACCATCGACAGGTGATTCCCAGATTATTTAGGATGATCTAAATAAATATATTTTTTGATTTTTTATGAAAAGATATACGAAAAAATAGAGATGTGGTATGATTAAAATAAGTGGACTTATCTAAATAAACACACTTATTTAGTTTATGCCAAATAGTCTATAAACATAGAATCAATCATAAACTGACCACGCACAATTACAAATATTATTTTACCAATAAATCGTATAATTTACTAAGTTAGATTTAATTACATATTTATTATTAATATTTGATCAATTTAACTTTTTCATAAAAACTAAATTATTTTTTTTTTTTATCAGCAAAAAATGAAATTTTATTGATGAAAAGCAATACAAAAGCGAAAATCAAACATCAATAATGGGGAGAAGTGTATTGAGCATCATAATTAATCACAACAATCCCAACTAGATTTGTACTAAAGGGTAAAAAGTAAATTGTTTAATATCATGTCTATTACTCCATCCGTCTCAATTTGTTTATTCATTATAGAAACTCTAACTTATTAAGGAGACATACCATCATTTTAATTTTAATTTTAATTTTAATTTTAAAATAGTTTTTTCTCCATTACTTTTCTATTTGAATTTTAAAATATGTTTATAATGATTTATAGGGAGTAATTTTGAAAATTTAATAAAATTTAGTATCCCAAAATAAAAAGTGAACAAATATTTTAGGACAAATTAAAATAGAAAGGTGAACCAACAAATTGGGATGAAGGGAACAATATTTAATTTCCTTGGTTTATTTATATTACATAGAAAAAAAAATCACATATCTATTAATATTTACTTATTTATTTATTTATTTATTTTTAAGAAAGGTCAAGACAAATAAAAACTAAACAGACGCGGCCAGAATAATCCTACATAATTCAGCTGGCACCTCATTCCTCCAAATGCCCTTACACCAAGGATCCTCTAGAGTGAAATTTCCCTAAAGTTTTCTAGAGTGCTATATTGTGTGGTTGAGATTTATTAGCAAGTCACATCAGAAAAATTGATGTGACTTGCCAATAAATCTCAACCATACACTGTAGCACTTTAGGAAACTTTAGGAAAAAATCACTCTAGAGGATTCTTACTCATGCTCTTACCAGTCACATGACCCGCCATACGAGCCAACCCATGAGCAGCCTGATTTCGCAACACATGCACGTAAAATGTACGAAATATGTCATTGGTCCATTTTATTTGGAGACATGAGTGCGAGCCCTTCATGTTCTGAGGTATGATTAGTTCCATCATATAAATTCCAATCAGCACTAAGATTTGTCCCTATCATTTTAACGTTGTACAAACAACCTCCACACCCTGATTTCGATGATGATTCTGGCAATCACACTTGTTTTGACACGTGCGAAGTCCAGGTCCAGCCCAAATCTTGTTAGTTTGCCTATTGTTACTTAATAATAAAATATATCAGACCAAAAAAAAGTGGTAGAATAAGAGATGATAGAAAATGGATTTGTAATTTCACTAATGGTCCTTTGTAAATTTTAGATTCAAATACAGCTTAAGATAGTGTTTTGTTTATTGGACTAAAAATTAGAATCAAATTGTTGTTATGTTATAATACATATTCTTATTTTTTAGTTTACGTAAAAAGGCAACGGATGTACATTAAAGTTACAAAAATGCCAACAAAATTGGTGTCAAAATTTTTCTCGACGTTTGATAAATGTCAGCTGTTGATTCACGGCATTTACAAAGAAATTGGTCACTGGCCGACATGTTTTTTTCCAGCATTTGGCCAAAAATGCCAGTAAAAGTACAATAAAAAGGGCTAAGAAGGTAAAATCATTATTTTCTTTCTCAAAATCATTCACTTTGAGATGATAAACATGTCAAACTTCAACTTCATTCATAAAGGCTTTGCTTGATAGAGAGAGAGAATATTTAAATATCCTTTTCGGGAGCATCTCATTCAAAAAAATTGTCAAATTATCAACTATTTATCCTGTGTATTTCGAGAATTTCATACTAACTGTTCGATAACAAAGAGTTAAATAATTACATGGTCCAAAAATAAGAGCAAGATGTGCAAAATACAAAATATTATTGGATAAGTATATAGACACGTGGTAGATAATTTCAGGTATTGGGCACAGCATCCAAGGAGATTGGGCCCTGGGGGCAACAGGTAGGCGAGGGCCTGTTTGAGATCCAGCTCAAATTTCTACTCTTTTACTTTAATTTTGGGCCTCAAAGTACTCAAAATTGAATACAATAACGCTCAGGTCTGGCCCAAACATAGCCCACCTTTGATCCCATTTTCCTCAAAACTTTTGCTAAAACCCGGCCAAGCATAGCCCACTTTTTAATATATAAGAGACATTTGGTAAAAATATTGACAAAATATTTGGAGTTCTTACTATTATTCTTTTCTTCTTGTGCTTTTTAGTCGCATGTTAAAAATTTTAAAACAATTATACATTTTGTATAATAAAAAGTATATAATATTTTTAAATCTTCTTTAATATTTACCCTAAAAAAAGTTATTAAATTTTTTTATTTGTATAATATTTTCTTTTTGTTAGTACAATAATAATGAATAGTAAACATGATTTTGATAATATATTATTTAAATTTTTTTTTTAACAATTATATTGATCGACTTGATTTTTTTATAAGTAATTTATTTGACAAGCTCTAAAAGATAAACCATTTCAATTATCAAACTAGGACACTAGAATTTTCACAGCAACGACCCTTCTCCCACTTAAATGATATATTGATTTCATGATTTTTTTTTCTTCTGAAAAATAAACACTTTATTAAAAAGTTAAGAAGTCAAGTACGCTTATATATGAAACAATAAAATAATAATGAGTCCCTTCTTTATGCTGTATGAAAAATAATTTTTGACTAATAAAGGATTTGACACCGTGACATAGACCTTTTAAACTCTAGTATGAGATTTCAAAATCTTGAAGTACTTTCAGACAATGGTTCCGTTTGGTGTAGCTGTTAAAACAGTTTAGAGATTATAATTTAACAGATTATAAATTATAACTTTAATCAGAAGTTGTTAATTTGTTTGGTGTAGCTGTTGGATTATATATTTAAGTTGCTAAGTAGTGTTTGTTAAATAAGCTATGAAATAACTTTTTCAATTAATTTTTATTTTTTGTTTGTCTATATTTCTCATAAAAAAAATAATAACTATCTATAGTCCATTTGAGTCTTTTTCTATTTTTAAAAAAAATAAAAAATAAAAAAATTTAAGAGTATAACCATAAATTAACATGTCCACAGCAGAAGCTAATAATCAGAATCAGCTTTTTTTAGTTAAAATAAGCTGTTAGAATCAGGCTGTTTGAAATAAGTTTAACCAAACAATCCAAAATAACTTTTTCAAAACTAAAAGTCATAAGTTGGTTTTGAAAAACTGAAACAAATACCCCAATAACAGGTAGAGAATATTCTGATAGGTTCTCTAAGCCTCTCTAAGCCTTTTAAAATTGTTGAAGCCTTTCTAAGCCTTTCAGATAGTGTACTCTATATACCTTTTGGACAAAAAATTTAAAAAAAAAAAAAAAAAATTGAATTTCATTAATAAAATTTTCTTCGCTTCAAAAAAAAAAAAAAAAACTACCAAGTACATGATTCACAGTATATATTATGAGATCAAAGGTGATCCATCCAATGAACAACTTACTACAGCTGGCAGATATGTACAAGTCTGCAATGCATTGCCAATTTGCCAATGTTTTGTTTTATAAAGAAAACAAAAATGCTTTAGACCTCTAATTTAGAGGTAGCACTAGTGATGTGGCAGTGGGTCCCCCACTGCCACAGCCAATCATGTGTCTTGATTTTTTTTTTGTTTTTTTTTTTTGCTTTTCCACCTCATTAGAGGTGGGTTTAGAGATGCCTTTTTAGAGGTCTCTAGCATTGTTGTAAAGAAAAAGAAACCACTTTATGCAACATATAGAGTTGTGTAGTGTGCATGTGACATGCTAAGCCCTTGGTTCAATCTCTCTCTCTCTCTCTCTCTCTGTGTATATATATATACATTGTGTATTGTTTGAGGAAAATTAGGGATGAAATCGGTTCGGTTCAGTCGGTTTTTTCACTAGTTTTGCACCGAATCGGTAATTTCGGTTTTACATATTTGTGAACCGAACCGTCAAAAAAAATGACATAAACCGGCGCGGTTCGGTTTATTACGGTGCGGTTTTTCGGTTTTTCGGTTTTTTTTTTTTTTCAAGCCATGTAATTCCTGCATAGGTTTGGGGCCTCACATATTGGGCCTATATTTTTATCCATTTGCATAAAATTTGGGCCTCAAGCCATGTAATTCCTGCATAGGTTTGGGGCCTCACATATTGGGCCTATATTTTTATCCATTTGCATAAAATTTGGGCCTCAAGCCATGTAATTCCTGCATAGGTTTGGGCCTCACATTTTGGGCCTATATTCTTATCCATTTGCATAAAATGTGGGCCTAAAGCTATGTAATTCTTGCATAAGTTTGAGGCTCCTGCCCTGTTATTAACATATACCAACAAAAAAATGAAAAATAACATATATCCAATCGTAAAGTTTAAGCCTTGTATCCAAATCCAAGTCTAAGCCATCAACCAACCATATATCTAATCCAACCATAAAACTATGTGTCTAAATCTAAACCTTAATAAATATTACAGACCATTACATAAAATAGAAACCATCTAAGGCAAGTTTAAGCCATCAACCAACCATATATCCAATCCAACCATAAAACGATGTGTCTAAATCTAAGCCTTAATACATATTACAGACCATTAATCAATCTCAAAACTCAAAAACATAAAATAGAAACCATCTAAGACAAGCAGCAACAACATGAACTTTCCAACTAAGCAAGCAAAAGAGACCTGTAAAAAAAATAAAATTATTATCAACATAATTCAATTTAACATAAAAAAAAAATTACATCAGTTATTCAATTTCTTACCCTTGCTTTCAAGCATCAATCAATAACAGTTACATCCTTATTGCTTGTTCCTTCCATAAGTACTAAAAAAAGACCCAATGCACAACAGGTTAAAGTGTTAAACATATAATTTTCATTTAAAAAAAAAAGAAAAGAAAATAAGAAATACTTGTGACTTCAGAAAAAAAATACCTGAATCAAGCTCCTCCAATTCTTCCAATTAATCTGTAAGACTGATTTGAGATGGGGAACGAAACCAATTTTGTGCACAGATGAGAGCTTCCACCATAGAGGGTGATAGAGAGCTGCGAAATGGATCAAGAACACGTCCTCCCGTGCTAAAAGCGGATTCTGAGGCAACTGTGAACACAGGGATAGCTAGAACATCACGAGCCATATGAGAGAGGATGCGATACTTAGTGGAATTAGTCTTCCACCAACCCAATATATCAAAATTATCACCATCTTCTTCACAACCCTCCACCAAATACCTCTCCAATTCGGACTTTTTAACCATATGATTTTCTTCTTCCAAATGAATCTTAAACTTGGATTTCATTTTTGTTCAGACATCTGTGTCATGATCTTTATCCAAATTCATTTCCCTTGATGGCTGCCCCATATTTTGTGGTTGCATACTTTCATTTTGAACACTCAAAACATACCACTCATATAACCTTGTCAATCCTCTCTTTAGTTTGTTTACCAAACCATCAACATGTTGAGTTTCATAAGTTTCTTCCAAGCACCATTGCACATATTTAAGTTTGTAACGAGGATCAACAACAATAGCAACAAACAATAGCAAATTGATCTTGTCAAACTTACCCCAATACTTGTCAAACTTTGAACTCATGCCATGTGCCAATAATTTCAAACTTAGATCATCATGCACACACAATTCGGTTATTGCACTTTTTATCAACATTAGCTCCGAAAAAAATGCATTGCAAGTAACATACAAAGAACCCGAAAAACGCAATGTGGCATTGTAAAACAATTTTAAAAACTTGACATACAACCTCGCTTTCATCCAATCATAACTTGTCGGTGGCCCAATTGCTTTTCTTCTCTCTTTTCCTTTTCCACTATTAGTTGGACCAACTCTAAATCCCTCACCAAGTTCACCCTCCTCACCAATCTCACCACCAACTTCACCCTCCTCACTATTTTCACCAACCTCATCCTCTCTAAGAGTCAACTGGAAGTGTGTGTCCTCATCTTCTAACCGCTCAAAAGCCTTTTGAAATGGTAAAGCCCGCTCTAACATGAAATATGTAGAGTTCCATCGGGTAGCTACATCCAAACAAGGTTGACCATGACACTCAATGCCCTCCGTTTCAGTACATGATTTGAATTTAGCCATCCTAGATGGAGAGGATCTCACATACTTCACAATATTCCGAATCCTTGTTATGGAGTCATCAATTTCTTTTAATCCCTCACAAACAATTAGATTTAATATGTGAGCACAACACCTCACATGTAAAAACTCATGCTCTAATATGGTACTCTTCCTAGTTTTCCTCTTTCGCTTCAAAAAATTAATGAGACCATTATTTGAGCTTGCGTTATCAACGGTAACTGTGAGAAACTTATCTATCCCCCATTCTACCAAACATTGCTCAATCACCTTGCCAAGTGTCTCACCTTTATGGTTAGGAACTACACAAAAGTTAAGAATTTTTTTGTGAAGTTTCCAATCACAATCAATAAAATGTGCGGTGAGACACATATAATTCAGATTTTGCACGGATGTCCAAGTGTCTGTGGTAAGGCATAGTCGTTGATCTCTAAGTGCATTCTTCAAAACCTTCTTCTCACTAAAATATAGTGACATACAATCCTTGGCAACGGTAATCCTAGAGGGGATTTTTAACCATTTTGGTTGCACCACACGCATGAATTGTCTAAATCCCTCACCCTCCACAAATTTAAAAGACAGTTCATCTATTATTATCATCTTTGCTAGGGCCTTTCTACATGCATCAACACTGAAGCTTACAGCTACAAGATTACCACTTGTTTCTCCATCACCATCCTTTTTTGGTTTAAAACCTAGGGTACTTTGCTTTGCATCTTTAAAGGATACTTCTTACACCTTGATTCTATATGAGTTAGCATTGATTTTGTCCCATTAATCTTCGAATCACATGCATAAGTTACACCACAATAATTACAAGAGGCCCTAGGTCTTTTACCAGATTCACAATCCAATTTCGTAAATGATCCCAAACCAAAGACCGTGGTCTTTTACCCACATTATCAGATTTATTTTTTGTGCTTGTTTCCTTAGCTTCTTGTACCATAGGTTCTTCAGTTTCATTGGGCACTTCAAGCATATTTTCATCCATCTAAACATAATAACAACAAGAATTTGCAAACCATTATATTTATATATATATATTTGTTATTTCTTTATATATCATTAGCACAACAATTTTTTTTTTTTAAAAAAAAAGAATGTCAAAACACAGACAGTCTGTTACTACATTTTAAATATAGGCAAATGAGTGTCTCTTACTTCATTTTGGAATCAAAGAAATCCAAGAACCAAATCAAATACATAAACTACCAACAACAGTATATCTATGATAGCATAAACCTTTCAGATTGATATAAATTATAGGATAGCACCCAGGAGAAGCATCAAAGAATTACTATTGTGCAAGTGCTGTGAGAAATCAAAAAGCTGCTTTGAACTCATTGCCATATAATCATAGAATTACTTTTCATTTCAAATTTTGATATAAGTTGCACCATGGGCAAAAGAAAACAAAAGAAAAGAAAAGAAAAGAAAAAAAAAGCTCATTACCTTTTCCTTCTAATTCTTTAATTGAATTAACTTTTCAAAATTGTGATGATCTGAAATAAATTTTTATACATCATTTAGAATAAAAACTGGGCAAATCAAAATTCTTCCTCCAAATGGACTCTTGCCTTGTGAAGTATAATGTGTTTAACAATGCTAAGAAGTATTAGAATCAAAATTTTTGACAGGATTAGGGTTTAACCCTCTTGTTTGCACCATAGTAGTCCCCAAACTACCACTACAAAAATTCTGAAGTCAAAATGCTACTCAAGTGAATCAAGCATGGGAATGAGGTCACAAGTATTTATTTTTTTTTTGGGATTAAAAGGTCATGAAGTTTTGCTCTATTTTTTTGAATTTGCACAATTCATTTACAATATTCATTTTTAAATAATATAATATAATATAACGATAACAAGTGTTACAAATCAAAATCAACAAGATGTTACTTGGCAAACAACTTGAGAGGCATAAACTTTTGGTGGTCAAAGCTTGGGCCTACAATGTACTCTCTTCATGGTCTAAAATTCAAAACCTCATAAATGTAAATAATTTTTTCGGACCAATTCGTACGGTATTTAAATGGTACTTGCCCTAATTTTAAATGAAACCCTCTAGTGGACAGTAAGATGGTCCCCAAATTAGTTGATTTTTTGAGCCGAATAACAAGTTGTATAAAAAATAAATAATAAAAATAAAAACTTGAGAGGCATAAATATTAGTACTAAGGTCTCGTTTGGAAACAAACTATTTCAATAATATTTTACCATTTTAACTAAAATATGGGATAAAAAAAATAACATGTTTAGATGATTTTTAAATTTTTTACGAAAAAATATGTAAAAAATAGAGAAAAAATAAAATTTTTGGTTCTTGGAGGAAATCGTGGGATTGAGGGGGTCTAGACTTTTCAATCTTCCAAAAAAAGAGGGTCACCCAAAATACAAGCGGCAAATTTTGTCAAAAGCATGGCTTGTAGAAGAAAATCCTAAGACTAATTTGATGCAGCGTGTAATTTTTCAACTATAAGACTCCAATCCAATCAACAAAACTAGAGCAACCTAGCACATTCAACTCCCAATGAACCCAAAACCCCATTTCAACATCTCATCCCAAAAAAATAAAAGATCAGTTTTTTACAAAAATTCAAACTGATAGCACAACATTCACAGCAATCAAGTAACAGTTGCATCAAAAACAAAACCAAAGCAAACAATAAACAGCTGGAATTGCATGGAAAACTGAGAACCCACCAAGATCAATAAAAGGGATTTCGAAAATTAGGGCACAATCAATAAAAGGGTTTTCGAAAATCACCTTAGGGTTTTGATTAAGCTTCTGCTTGTTGATTTTGCTACAAACCCACCAAGATCTTCATCATCTGCTTCGTTGATGAGTGAAGGAAGTGCGAAAGAGAGAGTGACAGTCGGTGTCTCTCGTTCGAAACAGAGAGCTCTCGTTTGATTCTTGAGAGAGAGAGTGTGTGTGAGAGAGAGTGATGGCGAGAGAGGGCCGTGAGAGAGAGAGAGTGACAGTCTAAGAAAAATGGAGAAAAAATGGAGAAACTGAGAGAGCTTCTTCTCAGGAAGAAAACAAAGAGACAAATAGAGAGAAAAAATCTATGGTGTGGTGTGTGGTGGGTTGGTGTGAACCGTGTATACGTGTGGTGTGTGTTTTTTTTTTTTTTTTTTTTAAACATAGTGAGACACGCGAACGGCTCAGATGATGCGACGTGGATGGCTAGGATTTCAAGACTATTAATATTATATGAATCGGTTCGGTTCGGTGCGGTTCGGTTCAAAAAATCAAAAACCATAAACTGAACCAAATGTACAAAAAAATAATAAACCGAATCGAACCGGCCGAAAAAAAAATAGAACACCGACCGAAAATCGTACGGTTCGGTCGGTTCGTTCGGTTCTTCCGGTTATTCTTTCACCCCCAGAAGAAATGCCTACATTTTATGTATTGTTGTTACTGTACCAATTAGCCCTTTGACTGGCCTCACTGGCTTTGTATAACCATGACATTTTTGCAACGCATTTATTTGCATGTTGATTCTGGGAGGAGAATTTCACGAAGTAATCTTAACCCGCTTTGAAGAAGTAATTATCATGTTTTCTTGAAACTTCATCTTAGTCATGTTTTTTTTTTTGTCGGTAAAGAAAATCTTTATTGATGAAAACATATAAGGCATAATAAGATACATCAATAAAGAAAAGTTTGGAGCTATTACAAGGCTCCAAGCGCCAGTTGGTAAGGAACCAACAAACCAGAGAGCAAAGATGCTGCCACAACATCAGACTAAGAAGAAAAAACACACAAAAAACTAGAGATTAGCAGCAAAGGCTGATAACAGTAGAGACTGAGAAAAGAAAGAAAACAGCAGAGAGCACAAAACAGCAGAACAGCACCAAACTTCATCACAAAACAGCAGAACAGCACCGAACTGGTAGTTCCCACAACTTTAGGTTAAACACCTCAAGACATTTTAGGTCTACTGGTATTCTAACTATTTTACTCCACTTCTCACCAACACATGAATTGCACCAAGT